ATTTACTTGGTTTTGGCGAGCTGGCGGTTCACCTGATGTTAAAAAGGTTAACCGCTGCCCGTAGACATTTACAACACCGTATGGTTGCAGATGCGATGTCACCTTTTAATAAAGTGGGCCCCGGCTACCTCACTGGTCAGACGAAACGCAGAATTTTAACGCTTCTACTTCACGTCCGTCTTCTGTTAGGTCGTGGTACTTACCCGGACGAACCAGCCCAAGTGTTATGTCTTAACATCAGTTGAACCACCACCTCATTTGCCATCGTCTCATACATACCTTTCACTAAAATCTAAATATTAGTGAACCACGGCACGACCGGACCAAAAGAAAGAAAACTGCCGGGGCTACAAGTGGACCACTGTCTTGTCTCGTTCTCTCTTCAGACTCTTGTCAAAACACGATGAACTGCGTCAAGATGTTTTATTTTACTAACAATGTTACTTTATGATTAATTTTATTTCCAATGCTAGTTTACGTGACTTACAAATCCGCAAAAAATTACTCAACAATTTTTCACTGCTTTTTAATGGGAGTAGTGTTACACGCACAAGTTTGTCCAAAGTCACTGCTTCTTCTTTTATACCCGGTATAACTGATATTCACCAGATACCTCTATTTCATTTATTTTATTTTATTTTATTTAAACATCAAAGCTAAATACTCTACGTAAAACAAATATAGTTAGTTATATTATTATACTAAGATTCGACTTCTCTTTTAGGTTTAAGAGACCAAAATTTTCTGTATACGTATTCTAAATAAATCAAATGCGCAAAATTGTAATCTTAAAAAAAGGAAAGCTTTTAACTTTTGAAAACGAGAAAACTATTTCTAGTCGATTGTTAAAGTCTGTTTCTTGCCGTGGAGATGTGGAACAAGCCATGTAGTTAATATAAGCCATGCAGAAGAAGTTGCAGGTATCAGCTGATAATATATCCAATGATAAATTCGAGATTATGTTAAGGTTAAAAAAATTAAGTAAAAATACATCTATCTAAACAAAAATGCATATATATACCTAAAATAGCATATATATGTATGATATTTTTGCACTTTGAATAGCTTAAAAACTTACTATTTATAATATATACTATACGATATCAGTTGCACTTTCTCATAATCACAAGCACACAGTTAAAATAAACAACACGGATTAATAAACTAATTCATATTTCATTAGAGAAATCCCATAAATTAGAAAACGAGTCACATCATGCTGCGTAAATACCTGACGCTTAACTCCTTAAATTAATTCGCAGGCTCCATCAGTGGCGCCCTCTTTTAATTACCAACGTTTAACGTGTAAGCCGAAATTACCTTTTGTCGGGTCCTGAAACCGGTTTACGCGACACTCTCGCTTATCTTAATGAGATTTTATTATTTACGAAATAACCTGGCCAAATTGATTGACAGCGGGCCTAATATCGTCGCCGTCTATCCAGAGCGGACATTTCGAAAATTAGATCAACAACCGACGGCTTTCTGGTACAATTAATAGCCTATGATTATTTTCATTTTTATATATCAGACCGTAGTTTTTTTTATGATAAGGTGGAAATAAGCGAGATGTCAACCGATTCGGTGTCTGAAAATAAACATTGTTGACAAAATTATTCTAGCAAATACTAATTTACCTACTTACTCTTAGAGATACGTAGTCGTTTTATATACATTAGTTAATATGAAGTAAATTTTATAAACAACATAAATTACCTAGTCATAAATTACTGTTTTTTCATAAATTACACATCACATTTAATACTGAGTGGCTGTTGCAGCTATAGCAACACTAAATGTTACAAATACTCATTTTATACATAGCATATGGCAACGTTATTGAATCTCTTCCTCTTCCACTCCAGCGATTCCGGGCCAAATACACGCTTGTCACTTGTCCTGTGATTTTCATAAATATTTATTTCAAAAAAAAATAAAGTAGATAAAATCGAGATAGGTCTATAGTTGTTAACTAATGCCGTATCTCCTTCTTTAAATACGGGTACCACTTTTGCTAATATCCATTTATGTGGGAATGTACCAGATTTCAAGGATTCGTTATATATGAAATATAGAGGGGTTGCTAAATTTTTTGCACATCTACGTATAAAAAAAGGACCAACGTCATCAGGACCGCTACCTTTTTTATCATCTAATGTTTCTAATTTTTAAGGATACTCATTTTATCTATAGTTATCATTGTGAGACATAACCCATTCAAATCGACATCCAAACCCAATTCATCATTATTGTTCCCTTCTTGACAGTATACTGATGAAAAACAGTCTGCAAAAATTTTACTTATTTCTAAAGCACTAGTTGCAGTTCTGGCTCCATCGGATATGCAGATCGGATAACTCGAAGAAGTTTTACGTTTTTTCTTAATGAATGACCAAAAAAGCTTAGTGTTTTTTATCATATCTTTCTCAATGGTGTTAATGTAAAAATTGTAACATTTTGTGGAAAGAGTTTTACATCGTTTAGAAAGCAAATTCAATACGACACAATCCATAGGGTTTTTATATTTATTATAGCGTTTTCTAATTCTGTTCTTTTCATTCAATGAGTAATATAATGAATGAGAATAATTTAATGAGACTATGATTGAACCAGGGAGGGTACTTAGATTTGTAAGGTTTATAGCATGGAACAAATTTATTTATAACTTCTTGAAGTGTTTTATAAAATACAGCTACCATATCATTAACATCATTTAAACAACGACCATCACTAAATAAAGCAACCCAATCTATTTTACTCAGATAGTCATTGATACCTAAATAATCTGCTTTCCAAAAATTTGGGGTCGAGTTATTTTTGTAATGCAAAAAAATTTTTTTGCTAGATAGTGGAAGTTTTACTAAAAGTGGTGGATGATATGGGTCTATTTTGCTTAAGGTGTTGAAAGCTTCTGTTGTTTCACAATCGGGTAAATCGGAAAATGCTAGATCTAATGTCTTATTCAAGCTGTTGAAAATGTGGTTATATTGTTTTAGATTGTTTATACTACAGAAGTCAAGGAGTAATTGGTTTAAGTTTGATATTTTATGAGGGGAATAATTTTGAGACGACCATTTCATATCACTAGCGTTGAAGTCACCTAAAATGCAAAAATGTGTATTGTACCGGTCAAAAACTGAGTTGCAGTTAGCTATAAAATGTTGAAGTACATCTTTACACAATGGTGGTGGTAAATAAGTTACACATATCAATAAATTACATTTGGCGTCCACTGTAGGTAGTTCCAGGGAGATCCAGAGAAATGTTTCGGTTAAGCCATGTTTCCGTTAATACAATTATATCATAGTTATTACAACAATCATTTGTATAAAAGGAATGAGTTTTGGATCTAAGGCCACGACAATTCTGATAGTATATATTAATTTGAGGTAGTGCTGAGCTAGAATTCATTACAGAAAGTGAAACTAAAATAACAGAAAAAAATAATATAAATTGAGAGAAAAAGAAAAAATAAAATAACAATAATAATAAAAAAAAAGACTTATGTAAGCACTTATATAAAATTTGAAGAATATGTTTGTTCATGCATCATATTGAAAGCATATTTGGGTTTTATCATTGAAGCCTGTATTTTAGAGAAATAATTTATGTTTATATGAGTCAAGTGAGCAGGCGGTTCATCTGATTTAAAGTGAATACCGTCACCTCATAGACATCGACAACAGCCTTGCAGATGCGTTGACAGCTTTAAAAAGTGAGCCCTGGCTACCTCACTACCAAGAAACGTGAAAGTTTACGAAAGTAACGTCTTCTGTGAGGTGAGTGGTACTTCACCTAACGCGCTTTCCCCTTTATGCAACTAATATTTTTCAATTATATTATTTTTCAAGCAACAAAAATGAAAATTCCTTATACAGTTGTATTCGTTCGGAATTAAGTTCCATCTAGCCGTTGTGATGTAAAGAGGAAATAAACAATAATACAAATAAAACAAGTTAATTAAAGAATGAATTGATAGTTGTAATATTTATTTTTTACACTCTATGAGGAACATAGTTATGTTAACTATCAAAACTAACGTAGATACACAATTTCGAATATTCTAGTTCATTAAGTAAATAATCGGTCGTGAATACAATGAAGTCTTTATTTAAGGTGATAATTCTGTCACCGCAGCCTAAAAGTTCTTAGCTTAAATAATTTTATTTAAAATAAAATCTCACATTAAACTACAACTCGAAAAGAGTTGAATTAAACTAAAGCCTTCCAATGAGCAATTTACGACTCTGAGTAAATACTTAAAAGTTCTTTAAAATTTCATACAAAAGTAATAGAAAACTTAATGCTCGATTTATTACGTTACTACTTCTTCATTTTATCCTTTCCTAAAAAAAACAGGGGGAGCTTTCAAAACTAGTACAGCCAAAATTAGCAAACTTACACTACCGTTCTTCTTTTTGCTATTGCCAATACATTCTTCATAATCTCTACAGCTATACGTTTATTTTTTTATTGCTATATTAACTTATTTGATAGGGATTTTTTTTACTTTTTCACACCTCAGTCCGTCCTGTCACCATGGACGCTGGAAGTATTCCAAACGATACGAACATTAATTTAAAATGTAAATTGATAAAGAAAAAATCCCTGAAACAGTCATTTAATAATTTTTTGTATTGGCTTAAGTAAAATAAAGCATTCATAAATGTTAGTTCTCGCTCATCGTATATTAAATCATAACTAACTGTTTGGAGAAGCAAACCGCAAAATTTTAAAACTAATTTACTTACAATAAAAAATATACAAATAGAAAAACGGAATAAGAGTGTGCCTGAAAAATCAAAGGAAATTGACACCATAATGATACGTAAACAATTATTTGCAGAATGTTATGAAAACTTTATGTAAGTAGTTACAGATAATGATTATAATAAAAACATAAACTATGGTTCTGTCATTATCTTGCAATTTTTTCTTTAATATTTTAAAGCTACTCTTCCTACACCTGCAACTGATTCGAACAATAATTAAGTCACTTAATCATTCGTTAAGTTATGATTGATTGATGCTGATCGTTTTTCTTCATGGAGGAGACCTATAAAGATAAAAGTTTTTTTTATCAACACGCCATAATGAAAAGCTCAACATCCCATTAATCCGGACTATTTGTTATTCTCTGTAAGGATAGAAAACCCTATAATATACTCAATTAAAGCACGTCAAGCTCTCATAACCATGATAAGCTATGAGATCGGAAAAATAGATTATCCTGATGACTTTCTTCTCAATGTGGTACACAACGTTAGCATCTGGTAAAACTTCCTATTAAATTTTTAACAATTTTCGGTTGGTTATTGTTAGAGCAGCTTGTTCGTTCTAAATGCAGTTCTCAATACATATTCAAGCCAAATTTAAATCAAGAAAACATTTAAATTAAATTTTAACACTCACATTCGACTTGAGACTCATGATATGGTATTTGGGCATGGCCGGCTTTATCAGCTTCATCCGATTTTGTTATAGTCTGTAATTCTCTCTCATTTGCTCCCTTACGATGGTCATAATAGAACCAACTGCAAATTAAGAATGATTTTAAATGAAGATAAATCATCTTTTTTATGTGAGAAAATGGCAAACAAGCTGGCGGTTCACCTTATCTTAAGTGATAACCACCGCCCCCAGCCATTTGCAACACCCGTAGTGTTCCAGATACGTTGCCACCTTTTAATGAAGTGGGCCCCGGCTACCTCACCCACCAGATGAAAAGCAGAAGGTTAACACTTCTACTTCATACCCGTCTTTTGTGAGGTCGTGGTACTTACCCGGACGGACTTTATCTCTTAACAGCTGTTGAACCACCACCTCCCTTGCCATCTTCTCAAATAAAAAAAAATAAGACACATTTGAGCTCCACAAATTTATATTTCAATTCATCTTAAAAATGAAACGAATTCCTTGTTGAGTTTTTAACCCTTAGAAAGTTGATCAGACATATTAAATCAATAACATTGTTGGAAATTATTAATATAACAATCAATAATTCTAGCAAAATTCTATTGAATGACATTTTTTTATTTATTTATTTGGTTACCAAAATGCTTTTGCAATCCCACTGAAACTTCAGTTCAAAGCCGTGATAGCTCAGTGTCCCGGCGCTCGATCCCCGCGCCGGCACCAATGAAATTGTTAATTTTAAGTGCCGAATTATCACGTGCTCAGCGGTGAAGGAAAACATCGTGAGGAAAAAATGCATATTTTCGAAATAATAACAAAAAAAAAATATTTCGAAGACATGTGAAGTCTGCCAATCCGCAGTGAGGCCGCGTCATGGACTATGCCCTAATACCCTCTGTACAGAGGAGGCCTTTGCTCAGCAGTAGGATATGTATAGGCTGATACTTTTTTCAGTTCAAAATGGTAAGGTATTAAACATTAGATAATTTTTGTGTATTTCCTTTCAAACTTTTGCTTCAGTATATAATTATGTCCTTAAAATTTGACTAACATACATCGATGTATAGTAAAGTATTGATGTTTACCTAAATATAATCAAAGCAGGCACTGTTGATGCAATACTTAGTAGAAACACTGTTCCCGGAAGAAAATGGAGGGTCGCAACGTAAACCTTTGTATATACCGGTGCGTATATCAAAGGCATGATAGTTTCCACAAGTCCAAACAGCGAGTTCAATCTACCTGAAATCGAAAGACCCTTTCAAATGAATGTCAATTTCATTACGTTGTGTTAGTTTGATAATTAAGAGCGTTCATAGTCCTAAGACAGACTGAGGTGTTAGACGTCAGAGCGTCGAGAACTAAAATTAGAATTAAAAAATAAACGTGATAATTCCGTAAAAAAAAAAGTTACTTAGTTAAAAAGTAGTTAGTTTTGCTTTATTGCATTTAATTTTTTTTCTATAAACACCAAAAATTAAAGTGTCAGACGTAGGTATGATTCCTTTGAGTGATGTGGCATGAAAAGTAAAGAAACTTAGTAAGTTTTAAATTAACAAAATTTGATTACACAATTTCTCCACGCATTATTAAAATATTGAACTATTTTTCAAAACTATACCGTGAAAATTGCAAAGTATTCGAAAAGTCCGATTATTTGAATTTGAAATCCGATTATCTTTGCTTTGAGCAAATTTGTATAAAACGGTATAAAAATATTCGTTTTTGATAAATATCGGTTAATGAAGAGATCGTCTCGTTACCCAATTCTTGATATGACACCAACTTGGAGGAGAGGGATCGCAGAGCAATTGCTGAAGTTCCATTTAAGATCTCAACCAGAGGACCTGAAATGAGCACAAGAAAAATATGACGCAAATTTACCCTATACAGCGTGTCGTTACCAACGCGACAATAAATGAACACACATATAGAGGATAACTTTTTAAAATTGTAACAAAAATTTACATTCTTTAAACATCATTTTTTACAGAGTTATTAAATTTTGCAAAACAAACAATTTTAGAACATCCTTGCGTATAAAACTGTAACGTAAAGTTCATTTGTAAAGGTCACAAAGCATATGAATGGGTTGAATGAATTTAAAAGAGACAAAACATACTGTTAGAAGGAGAGGCTTGTAACGCGACGTTGTGGCAACGAATGAAAAAGTCTCTGAATGTATGAATCAGTCAGCTGTAGCTGTATAGGATGTTACAAATTTTGTTTCTTACTCTTACTTAATTACTTTGTTTGAAAAAAAAAAATTAATTATGATTTTTTTTAACGTTTATATTTTTTTATGATTATTGGCAAGTAGCGTTAGACGTGTGTTAATTTATTATCGCGATGGTAAAGACACACTGTATATTTATTTTAAATGAACACAATATTCAATAACATTCCATTTAAAGAACGTTATAGTTCCTGTTATTTATAGTTAGCAATTCCATGACAATCGTCAATCGGTACACACTGAATTATTGAACATAAAGTTCAACAGTGGCATGTCCACTTATAACTTTACCGGTTTGATAAGAGCTAGTTATAATATTTGCTCTTCTTGAACAGTTATACAACTTGCTATCAACAAATCCTTACTTATTTTGGTTACATCGCCCGTAGGCAGCCAAAATACTTAGAGAAGCTGGTGGTAGTTGGGAAAATGGATGGAAAAAGACCACATGGGCGATCACGTACCGGTTGGTCTGATCAAATAAAAGTTATAACCGGGCTTCCTGTTTCCACTACCCTGAAGAAACCTGAAGAAACCCGAAAACAGAATGGTGTGGAAGCAGATCATCACCGATTCTGTCAAAGATTTTCAAAACGGACACGATCTTCAGCAATGAAGACAATGAAGAAAAAGAAGAAGAACACAAATAGAGTAACCAACTATCGCGTAGAGAACTAAAATAAGGTTCGTTGAAAGCAGGCATTATGGTATATTGAATAGATTGGCGAAATTGGTTAGCTATAGTGTTGGTCATAGCCTACGCATAAATAAATTCTCGGATTCAGGTGTTTCTGTTGTGCAAGTTTGTTTTTATACATCTCGACAATACATTTGTTAGAGCTTAAGAAAAGGAGAAAGCGAGAGTTCCGATTCGTCCAATTGATATATCTCCAAAATACATTTTACTTGTCTTTCTTTCATCGCACATATACGTCGTTATAATTTGGAAAAAATTATTTATTATTAAAATAAGAATAGATAAATTATTTATTTACATACAAAGATACGCCTGATAGCCCTTTACAGCGAAAGTGAGCACCAAGGCACCGGCTATCTTGCTGGCCGCCGAGATTATACCCAATACGGAGTCATGAGCTTTCAATTTTTTACTGAACACGCTGATTGAGAATATAGTGCCTGAAAATAAATAAAGCTTTAACTTCAAAGGGGTTCAATATAAGAAAAACCGATATTAGTATATGGAGAAGAACTCAAATAACTGGAAGATTCGTGGTAATTGAAAAATCTGTAATAAATGTTAACACCTTTGAGTTATGATGAAATACCTGTACCAGCCGTACAGTTATTTCTCCAGCTTTGTATATTCTGAGTATAACCACCAGATTTTTGTGGCTTATCCCTTATTCGCCTCGTACGACACCCACAGGATGAGATGGGGTGGCTTATTCTTAAGCGGGCACCACATGGAACTTTTATTATTACTTACGCCTTTATTTTTTCATATAAAAATTTCTCAAGCGAGCGGCGGTCATTAGTATATTTATCCACTATAGAATATTATAATTTTTCATTATCATATTTTTACATGTACATAATTTATAAGTACATTTATATTATATTCATCGATCTTTCATATTTCATTAAAGCATTAGCACCGGAGTAATTTGGAGTGGGGCATATTTTAATTATGAAATGATTGGAAAAGAATTTTTAGATGCAATGGAATTTATCCGTCGCCTTTTAAAGCTTTAATTGGGTCGAATTTACCTACGTACGAACTCGAGCCTCGTGATTTCCTTTCAGTGTTAACTTGCTCTAATTAATAATGTTTAGTGACTGCCTCGACAAATATAACCCAATTTCGAAGTGACCTTATTTATACTAATAAATTGGAAAGAAAATTTTTGGGCAACTATGGATAGCAACTTAGATACTCAATATTATAGGTTGTTCGGATCAAACCCAGTTTTGAATTTTTATTGCGCAATATTTAAGGATCAACATAAGATTGAGCGTTGGATTCAACCACCATATTCCCCTGACTTAAGTCCGTGTGATTATTGTTGCTTTCATCAGTTATAGAGAAGAATTGGTGGTGTTGCTTACTCTGATGCCAATGCCTTGCGAAAAGCTTTGGATAAAGAAAACCGATGGCAACAAACATGGAAGGTGAGAAAATTACCTTAGCGCTGACAAGCGCAGCAAATTCACAGAGTGTCTACCCCTACTTGATATTTGAATATAAGTTCGTAAAAATTAAAACTATATCTTTTATTGGAATATTTGTGTGGGCGGGTTTGATCCGAACAACCTTTTGTATTGAAACTTATTCATAGGAAGATTCGTGGTGTACACAATAAGTTTTTGTGAATTGTTACGACAAAAACGCCGTAGGTATGTTTGCACACTTATGGATGTTAGTCTTACGTGTTTGAGTAGTTGTGACTATCGATGTTCCAATTATGGATAAAATTAGCTCAGTGATAGCTCATATATATCCAAGCTTAAAAAACGCGAAAGGTTGCAGTCCTGATTTCGATGCCGTTATCATTTAAAACAAGATTTCAAAAACAAGACATCAAATTAAAAAGTGGAAATGAAAGCAGAGCAACGAAAGACAAAACCAAAAAAAAGCGACAGTGAAAGAGAGACAAAAACATTTTCGCATATAAATCCGCGTTTATACTTACCAATGGAGTGCATAATAAGACTGTAGGTTGAGTAAATACTATAATGCATTTCATCCCAGTTGAAGCGGTATCTTACGAAGATGTACATGACGCTTAGTTCACCTGAAAAAATAATATCACCTATAGTTAGTATCCAAAAGCGAGTTCATATAATTAATATCATTTTATTTATGAAATGTAATTCGGATTCATATATACATTCTCGAATTATGCTTAAACCATTCCTTGTAAGGAAAAAATTATAACAGGTCACAAATTATTGCTTCTAAACGATCAAACACGGCAACGCCTGAGAAAAGCTTAACATCTGAACGAAACACTCTTTAAATTAATAAACTAAATTAAAATAATCAAATTCAAAAAAAGTTAAGTGATTACTAGTTACTTATGTCTTGTTGAAACTATAAATCGAGCGCTATAGATTCTAAAACAAATCGAAAGAGCGGTAGCTACATTAAAGGATTTTTGTTGTGTTTAATGTTTTATTTTCAATTTATCAAAATTTCAGTTTCGCCTCAAGCTTTATGCAAGATCATTCGTAGGACTCAATCACCAACGAATATTTAAGAGATTAAATAAATGTATGTTTTATGAATCAAGAGTCACTTATAATTAAGCGTAAAACTCAAATATTCAAATGTCATTTAAATTTTTTAGATCGCCGTATTTAAATAAATATATGGATAGCCATTTTTTTTAATGGACATTATGTATTCAAATAATTTTACGAAGTTTTTATGTTTATCCGTTGCCATGTCTTTCATTCAAAATGAACACTGAGTATTAATTTGAAAGTATACTCTATATTTACCCTTTAAGAATAAAATTATAAATTATATAGTTAGTTAATTATAATTAGCTTCGAATTTGTGTCTGTATAAACATTTTTATCAGTTATTAACATTATTTAACTTGGTTGATTGAAGTTTTCAACAAAATATTCTATTAATTAATTTATTTCACTGTTTACATAATATTTTAAGCAAAAAATAACTTTTAAGTGCCTAACTTTTATAATTAAAGAAAAAAAGTATTAATCAGTATAAGTAAATTGAAACGTTGAATATTTTATATCAATAAGCCACAGGTTTTGCATTTACGATTAACTCCGCATACTGAGGTGCATATCTTTGAATCATTTATTATATAATCGTCCGTTTGTACTACCCGAGTAGGTCTGGTTCTTGAAACAAGAGGCACACTTTTTATTCTTGAACCGCCGCGATTCTCAATTTTTTTTTCTTTCCTTTTTAATCGAGTCCTCAAGGCCAGCCGAGAGTTATGTGGATAAAATGTTTTATCTTACGCCCTTGTACAAGTATTTTTGACCACTGCGCGGCCTAGCGAATTTTAAACCTTGATACTGAAATACCTCTTGGTATTAAAAATACCCGAAACCATTCAGGTATACATTAAGTTTTTCTCATAACCTATAGTCACGCAACCCAATCAAAAATATTTCTCATTTGTTAATTATCATTGAGGAAGTAAGCGAACAGTAATTTTTATTAGTAGAATTTGCTGTGATCGTTTGCTTAGATAGCTAGACCCAGTTTATTTTCTAATAAAAATATGTGGCCTTTTTTTCTACTTGTAAACAAAGTTTACACAATTTTATATAAAATTTCGAACCTCGCGAGTATCAAAGCGAACAATGACGCTCCAATACTCGCGTATAAAAATTATTTATGGACTGCACTAAACCTTATATCAGTCTATAGAACAGTATATGTTTTATCAACACATTCTGTCCAGGCGTCCCGTTTTCTATACACAACGGTTCTCTTTCGAATGTCCAAGCATTGTTCTCAATTGAAATCGATATTAATGTGATCATTGTTGAATCTTAGCTATTACAAAAAAAAAACAAACTGTAATAAATATGCAATCACAATTTTCAATAACTACAAATCGTGGATAATAAAATTACTGTAAGACCAAAAACATTTTCCTACTTTTCAGATCAACAATGTCTACACAGTAACATAAATGAAAACCAACTCACCCATCAATGGACCGAAATGTAAACAGACGCACGTGAGAATTAAACAGAGATGAAGTCTTCTGTTATTCCTTCCTTTCTTGAACACTATGCCCAAAGTTTCTTTGAGACTTTTAACGTCAAAGAACTCTATAAGAAAACCAATACAGCCCGAGCGCTTTTTCTGAAAAACAGTCATTAATTATTTTACCGTGTCATTGCGACACTGAAACTAAAATAGGAGGAAAATTGTAGTCACCTTTTGTTTATTTTCAAGCCACGTGTGATCTTCTATAGTGAAGTAAAGATAGCAAAAATTGAACAAGTGAATGCTACCCGCTATGCTAAACACACCGTAGTAGCCGAGATACTTTATCAAAACCCCACTAAAACCCATTCCTATAGGGAAGCCTATCGTTAGGCAAAGGCTTAATATTCCTAGGCGAAAAGTCCTAGTCTCTTTCGACGTTATATCGCATAAATAGCTGAACGTACCGAGAAACATTGTGTACCAGCCACCGGTGAGCGATGGAAATATAATATCTATTAACACAGTCCATTCCACTGATATCTCATAGAAGAAATATGTGTTTATTATATTAAGCAGGCACGTCATTAGCTCAGCAAAAATTGGCATCAGCATACAAATCTTCCTTCTTCCAGTTTTATCGCTCCACGCTCCAATGAAAAGCATCAATAGCGTTGGCACGATCGTATTGACAACACTCCTCCATGACTGTACTGATGCGATCAGCTTCTGAACTTCAATCTCCTGGGAAGTGTGATTATCTGTCTTCCTCAGTCTAAGGTCCATACACACCTCGTCACCAAACTGAAGATTCACTCGGCATGCCTTGTCTATGTACAAGTTCTGCGCAGCAAGCAGGGTCAACACACTAGGCACCATGAACAAAGTCAGTATTGGTTCTACAGTAATATTGGATTTGACGTATTTCATTTTCTCTTTTCGAGTCATAGCATTCAAATCAACAGTATCTATCGGTTTAACTAGCACCTCCTCCACAACACATTCGACATTTTTCGATGTTTCGTTATTCATTTTAATTTAAATGCTCTTCTTGCACTCAGTGATCTTTTTTAGTGAATATGTATATCTTGCAACACAGTTTCGAATTTTTCGTTTCGGGAAATCACATCGCATGCGTTAAAAAGAAAAAATATTGATATATCGCGCGGACGTAAGTCAAAAGTCATATAACTGACGATGACAAATCAACACTAGTGGTCTATTGTATGATTCTTCGAGATCTATTTTGTTTCCAACTATAACATATCATATCACGTAACGAATGTGAAATAAAACTAATAGAAACTGATTAAGCATTTATATAAAGAACCAGGAATTAATAAGGCTTTCATAGTCGTGCAATTTAATAGAATAAGAAACACTTGTTTGCAGCTTTGTTTTTATTATGTTGAACACTCAATTGCTTTACGTATTTATATCCACGATACGAACGTCCATCACTAAACTTCCTTATTCAAGTTGTCCACTTCTTCAACTTGTTTGGTGTCCTCCCTCTGTTCGAAATACATCCATCTGAAAATCACTATCGTATAAGTTTGTGTTGCAACATTGTTACGTGTTGGCCGTTCGCACAAGACTGATCGGGGGCGAAGTGTTGTGAATAATTTAAGCTCATTTGACGCGAATGAATCGGAAGAAATTCACAATCACGAGGCACGGCCGCAGCACTGACCACTCTCTCAGGAGCACTTGAAACCGGTCCGGTGGATAATCGTTTCAGTATATAATCATAAAGCTTCTATTATCTATCATCCGCATTATTTGTCCTATTAGAGTTCAGCGCTAACTAACAATTAGTATTCGAATCTGTCTAAATGTTATGAATATTGAATCTTACCGCTGTGAATTAAGTGTTAATGAATATTTAAAATTTGGCTACTAGATCTGTGGGTCACCTTGAAAATGTGTATAATATTGCCAAAACTTAGACTGTATAGTTTTTGACTATACGGACACTTACTTGAGTGATAATGTTCACATGGCCTTAAAACATGAACACGTTAATAAAGTAATGAATGAATCTATCTACATTAACCAATTATGTTATTCTGTCCAAAAGATTTTATAACCCTTTACTATCGATTGCAAGCGAGGTCTTAAACATGAGTAGTTAACATACATTCATTCATTCCTAAACTATAGTAATAACGGTTATAGTTGTAACTGTTACAACTTTAGTTATATACTATATTGCATAACGTTTTGTAACAGCATCCGAAAATGAAAGAAGTAATTAAAAACATTCTTTCTTCGACGTTTGAATGGGCGTTATTTACGAAATACGTTTTAAAAATAATTTTAGAACATAGTAACCATAATTTCAAAAATAAAAATATATTACTTTTAAGAAATAAATTTCTTTCTGTTTGTTATTATTATTGTTGCAATATTTTCTACTGCAGTTGTGAATGCTTATATATACAAACTGTGTACAACTGTAAAAGTAGAAAATATATACTTCAATATAATCATATTAGTACAATAAGAATACTAATAATAGTCTTAGTACCCTAAACTAAATTTCTTTTTTAATGGCATAAAGTTAAACGTTTATGTTATGCCTAATATAAACCTAGCTGTACCTAATGTTAGGTTAACCTTAATGAATAAGAAATAAATAAGTTTTTATTGCGTGAAATTTAATTTACACAGAGCAGATAGCATTGTACATATCAGGTTTTTTTTGCATTTTGAGTATCATATGTATGTATATTTTCTTTCTTTTTTAAACAACATGTTTAACGTTCAGGGCTATGACAACTTTTATATGGGAGCATGACCTAAACATGTCTAAAAAGTAAATATTTCACATTCTAAAGATCTCAGTCTAGATATAGTGTTTAATTATTTGATTTGACGTCTGATATTTTTTATTTGTATGTCTGCATTACAACACGCATCTGATATAGTTTAAATATTAAAAATATGCTATTTAATTATTAATTTCGGTGATTTGAATTAGTTTCGAATAGTATGCTAAATAAAATATTTGATTATATTTAATCATATACTTGAGTATTTCCCAACTATAATAAAAAATCAAGTTCCGTTAATAAGGGATACTTAAAAATTAATGTTCTAAAAATTTTAGGACATTAGTGGTCATCATCATTTGATAATCACAATCACACGAAATTGACTCAAAAAATAGTTTGTGGGTCATTATGTGTGACCAGGTTGGCAGTAGAAACCATGACAAGTGATGTGCCCTAAGCTTGAAAAATTTTAGGTTTAATGATTTGTTTTAAATGCTAGTCTCGCTCAAGATGAAACTAAATTGTCAATTGAAATGCTAAGAAACAATGTAGAAAAGCACGTTAATATTTTCGTCGGTGTGGCAATCAGCCGGTTAGCTCAGTGGCTAGAGCGTCAGGCCGCGAATGCCGAAGACGTGGGTTCGATTCCCACAGCGGCGACAATCTTTTCGTACTTTTTCTACATATTTCAATTTTTCTAAAATATTTTAAATTGTCAAATTTGCAGATAAATAAACAAAAACTTTAGGTGCTGCGGGATTCGAACCTGTGTCTGTTGTTTTCGCACCCAGTCGCTTTACCAAATAAGCTAAGCGGCCGATGACCGCATGGTGCGAAAATCTCGGAATCTGTCTACGTCGTTTCTATAATATTTTTATCAACGATTTGCGCCATCTAGTGTGCATCATTTACATAATGCAACACCTTACAAAATATGAAGGATAAACATTTCTAACGAAAGATGTCACCGTAGTAGCTAGTCTCTGACCTCAAAATGAAACTTTAATTCGGTTTTTTCTAGATAAATGCACAAAAACTTTCGGTACTGCGAGATTCAAACCTGCGTCTTCCTATTTCGCGCCCGTCGCTTTATTGTCTAAGTAGGCAACCGATTATATCACGACGCGATAATCTTGACTTCTGTCTACGTTCTTTCTATTACTATTGCATTTTTTGCAATGCTTGGTGCAATCAGATGTGCATCCTTTAGAACTTGCAATACCTTACAAAGAATATTCAATGATGAACTCTAAATCGACTAACGATCTAACTTCAAAATGGACGTTCGAATCCCGCAGCACCTAAATTTTCTATCTACAAAAAAAAATCACAATTCATAAATTGTGTTTTACCTCTGCTACGTTCTTTAACCCAGTAATTTGAACTTTTATAATGTTTAGACTTACCCGAAAATCGCAACGGCTGGGACCGTCATACCCGCTCCAAGCAAGAATACCGCACCAGGCAACACGTTCAGTGTTGCCATATACACCCTCGAGTAGAGAGGCCCATATACCAAAGGCATCATAGCTTCCGCCAAACCAAAGAGAGAGTTTACTTTACCTGTAATAGAGACGTCTTATACAGCAGACGTTTTAAACATTGACTCAACTGTTTTGGCTGTATCGTATTAGTCATGAGAGCCATTTATAGTTTTATTTTCACGAAGTTGCGTTTCTGAATTAAGTATTTGTTAGATTTTGCGATTTATGTGAGCAAGTAGCAATTAAACGAGGAGTTTGGTTTTCACAATAAAATTTGGTAAACGAGCAGAAAAGTAAAAATATTCCATGCCATTTCATAGTCAGGGATCGTTTTGGTGACAGTATAAAATTTTTGTAACTATCATTCGGATTTCTAAGAGCTGTATGCTGATACTTATAAAGGTTTTAAAATTATTTAATTAGAATATAAACAAACGGAGTGGGTCAGCGCGTTTGATTTACGTTATTTAAAAAAATATACAATTTACTCGTCTTTTGCTAAATGATACAAAGTGATTTCAATCGTATGTATTAGAACGCAAGGTACTTTCTGAGCATGCGCAGCAAACATTCAGTTAGAAATCAAAACACGTGTAAAAAATATCCTGTCCGAACCGTATTAAAATTATACATTTTAGTGCAATACATTTTAAGGAAACCTGACATTGGTTTGATACACAGAATCAATTAAAAGAAATAAAATAACGGGTGAAGCAGAAACATGACAAACAACGATAAATGTAAAAAAATAAAGAGCACATTCATTTGAGGTGATTCATTTGGATGATGTTGGTAAACATTGTATAGTTTTTTATTTTGTGCGGAAGGGGCACAAACCCTAGGACGTTCCAACGACCACTGTGATGTAGAAAGATCTATTATAGTAATTCCTTCGAAAACTTCGCCCACTTACTTATGTATAACATTATCCTGTGCTGTAAAGACGTTTTGCATATATATATTTCACGTCAACAAACACCCACATCCGACACAATTATCTGTGGATCACACTAATAGTTGCCTCGTGTGGAAATCGAACCCACGACTAAACCAATCAAACGGAGTCATCGTTATGAATTGGTGAACTTAGATCTTAGACCATCTCGCTACCTCGAAACGAAATAGCTTACTTATGATTTTTAACGTGATGTAATGAGAATGTCATCATTTGTGCGTACAGGAAAAAATAATTGATAAAGAGTTGAAAATTAATGCCATTATTTGGCATTCCAAAATAACATTCAAGGCACTAAAAGGCCGAAATCGAGATTGTTGTTTGTTCGCGAAGTGCTTGATTTCCCCTCTTTAATGGGCACTGTCCGTAAATTAAGCTGGTTACCGAATAAATAAAGTTTAATTCCGAAAAAAAGAACATAATGTTGTTGTTGTTCATCAAATCAAGAATATGTAAAACGTTAAATTGCTTTTATAAAATTAAACGAAAATTACGAATTTTAAATAACAATAAAACGTGATAACGATCACTTAAAATCGGACATGGAATAAAACCAGTCAAAATGTTTTTATATGCATGGTTAATTTGCTTGGACTTATTAACATTTTCGGGTAACATACCCCCTCCGACCGGGTTTTCGCCTTCTCATGGCGGAGGAGAATAGTAACCCTGGCTTGGTCGACCATAATAAAGCCAAGAGAAACCCGCACCGCTTATGTTGTGGCGGTGGGGCCGTGGGGGGAGAGCAGTGTTGGTATATATCGAAATACATAGTTCTCCGCGGCCGAAACGTGGTGAGCGGTGGAGCCACAGACCAAGTCTGCCCCTGGGCGTTGGGAGGCTTTCTGCTCATCTGTAAGGACTCTCCTGCGTTCATTGACCTCTGGTCAGTGAACTTGGGGTTCATTGACCCTGCAAAAGGGGCCGAGTAGGAAGTCACGGTCAATACCCAACCGTGCGGGTGCAATGGCGGTAGGGACGCAGAAGTGTCCGAAAGCGCTCCCGAGGCCTTGCGGATATATGCCCTAGGTGATTTACTCAACCGACTACGAAACACAATTACTCAACCTTCAGGGCTCGTAAATCGAATACATCGAAGTTTATCTATGATTATTGTCAATATATTAAATTCTTAGGGTGGGTGAGAAGTCGAGACTATATGGCGGATGAATCATTATCTCGACATCTGTCACAGAGAAATATTTAATTGTTCGTTTTGCGCAGAACGCTGAAGCGTATTCGTGATGAAAGAGGATCTTGTTTCAAGAACGCTGTCGAATGTTTTCCAAGACAACATGAAAACAACAGTTAACATTTGTCTGCAGTAACTGTCTTTCCATCTTCCAGTAAAACTATGGCGAAGTGACCTTTTCAACCAAAGAGCGGGCAATCATCTTTATTCCTTTCTTCACATTATTTGGCCGATCCTCAAAACGAAACAGCCACTGAGGAAACATATACTGAGCAGTTTTTGATTTCAGGTTCAAAGCAATATATCCTGCTTTCGGCAACTGTGACAATGTCAAATACAGCATTAGAGTCACCTCCGTTGAACTTCGAACATTTGGCGACACGGAAAAGACGTTTCTAGTCTTTGGTCAAAGTAGGGGGAATCCATCTGGTACTACTGGTAAGCTTCTTGACGCCTAAATTATTAATGATAATCTAGGTATCTTTGTAGTAGATTTGTTGTTCAGTAAGGCCATAACTAAAGTCGCAATAAATCATGGAACGAAAATTTTCTCAGTGACTTTGTTCATCACATACTTACTTTATTCTTATACTTTACTTATCTTCTTGTACTTATTTTTTCAGTAGTTGAGATTGAACTAACACCCATAATAGCATCGGCAAGATATACACAAACTCATTTATAAGACGCCTAGGGTTCTATTCCAACAAGGAACAACTATTTGGGCGACCCACAGATAATTTTTTAGGATCTGGGTGTATGTCCACGTCAAATTTATGTTTGTTAAACGTCTTTACAACATAATATAATGTAATCTTACAGTAAAAATTAATAAAAAAGTCGCCTTAAAATATTTGACAATATATACAATATATAACTTAGACACGATTGATGTTAAAATGTCTTCGTCATGATAAATATTTATGTAACCGAAAATAATTTCAAAAGATAACATTTACAGCTTTAAATTATTTCCCTAACATAACTTATTATGCCAGTAACATAACTTATCATGCCAATTATAAATATTGTACGTGAGATTGTCCGTTTCTAAAATAGTCGCATTGATTGAATATAATAGTGTCTATTGTTACGATTGAAGTTTACGCCATTAATAATTACGTCACAATAGTTGTTTTTAATTGAAAACGCGTCACTCATTTATTGGAGCAGATAAGTGAAATATTTCGTGCATGTATATGTATTTATCGGACAGTATAATATTTTAATAAAGAATACCTTATCATCATGAATAACTAATTCTTTTAAACGTTGATTATTCAAATGCTTATCAACCCAACTATGATAAGTTAATTTAACTGTGTTAAGTAATGTGATGTAACACTGTTTGTTTATTAACCACGTTTTCTTTAAAATCGAAGTTTGTAAGGAAAACTGCACCCCAAGTAAGACTGTTTTGTGATATGATATGTGAGGTAATATGATAAATTGCAACTAGAGGAAAGGTTCCAGGCTAGTAACAACTTTATTTAAGTTTCTTTTCTTGATAAATACCTTATAATTTTTATAACCTTGAATATTACATATATGTATTATAGAGTAACACCTTTACAATGTTATTCCAACCGGTTTCATCCTTAATAATTACATACGCTAAAAGTATAGAACTACGGCCATAGTCATTTTAATTTGTCATAATCACAGTGACCTAGAGCTGAAAACAACTCAGCCTTAAAAAAGGTAACCTGTTCTTCTATTCAACTATTGCTATATCAACATGAACAACATCGAGGTAAACGTAAAAAAACACGTGTGTGCGTGTGCGTGCTTTGCACGTGTGTTTTTATCATAGATAAAAGCATTGACCTTTACGACGTGTCAGATGTATGCGAATTCTTATCTAACGGCTCTAATATTATCATATGTGCATATACTTATTTGATGGTAAGCGATCATTGTGGCTACCTTGCTAGTAAAACTGGACGAACTCCATAATACGCTCTCTCTCTGACGCCTTCAACCTACAGAGTTTGTACAACCGTCCAATCATTTCAATCAGTTAGATGGATGTCTAAATGCTGCCTACATATGTAACCAGTCATTAAGGCGCAAAAGCTGTCTGTGGTAACTGTAACACCGACGTACAGCCCATGAGTGCCGTGGCGGGTCTACTGACCTTCAGGTGATCCTTCTGATATTTCGGCGCTTTCTTAAAAAAAAAAACAAGATTGTTGTCCAGAAGGAAACCATGCGCGGATGCTTATGTGAAATATGAAGGAGGTTATATTGAAATTAGTTGATGTCGCAAAATTAAATAAATGCGTATATTTGAAAAGATACAGGTTTTTCCCAATGTTTAAAGAGGTTATTTTTCATCATCGGTTTCCAGTAGAAAATCGTGTGATTTAATGAGAACAAATAAACTTTTTTAGATTCTTCAATTTCTTTTTGCTCATGATTCTGCAGAATTTTATTTATGCCATTTAAAATATTTTAATAGTGTACCAATTATCGAAAAACCGACTTCATATCCACGAGCTCATCACTGCCAATGTCTCGAACAGCATGCTTAAGTGTACTACTTAGCTACTACGTTAGCTACTATTTTCAATTTGTATTATATGTGTTTAATAATTATTAAAAACGTTCAGTCAATCCTTTATGCTTATAAAACACAAAAAATACAGTTGAATTGTGAACCTCCTCTTTTTTTTAAATCGGTTAAAAACACGTCTGTCACAAAAAGATGTACGGATTTCTTTTTCCACCGTATATTAGAATAACCACTTAAATAAAATGTTTTTATGATACGTCAATTAAAGTTCTTTGTATGAGACAACATCAAATGAAAAATATATTGCCAGTAATCATTATTCATTTTTATCATTAAAGTCATCATCTAAAGGCACAAGTGTCCAAGATAATATGTCTTAGATGAATATGCCCTAACATTTTGCAAACAAGCGGTATCAAAGTAAACTTATGCGAACTACATAATATGTAGTGGAATCGAATTTCCCCACCTTACTTTAATTCTAAATATTATTTATAACGGCTTCTCAAATTTAAACATTTAACATTCACAATTTAAATGCAAACATTTTTGTTTAAAAAATGGTTGAATTAGTAAACAAATTTAAATACAAAATTTCGACATTTAACGGAACGCAGAAACGGGTTTACAAAAAGCATTGCCGTCACTTTGTAGTATTTTTTGAAAAAAATATGAGTGTAATATGGCTGTTTTTGTGCAATAATCAGAGTACCTACATATGCAATATTAAAAAAAATTAATAAACATAACTAAGAAGTCGAGGTAATTAAATTCTTATCAATAATATTGACAAACAAGGCAATAAAATAATTTTATCAATAAAAAATTATAATATAAATAGTAAAAAATAAGCAAACTAATTGCATTAAACCATTTCGAAAATTAATTCGATTAAATACGGATATATGACTTTCAGGTACTAGCTACTTTGATCTGTTACGAAGGATTTCGTAAAATCGAAACTCATATATTATGCAATGGAATTCGAATCTATAACATTACACAACTGATTAGGTTGTTTTTAACTGTGGGTCATATTATGTGGTATTATTCAAATTGTTCATTTTGTACTTTACAGTTTCACCGATACGAATGACGATGACTTCAGTAATGCAACCATCCAACCCAACTGTAAATTTCGTGGGCTTTTCGTACAGTTGAATGTTTGATTGTCCTAAAATATTACATTTTTATTATTTGAGTAGGTGGCACGCGAGCTGGCACTTCATCTGATGTTAAGTGATAACCACCGCCCACTTGCAACACGGTTTTTTTTTTGGCTGAATGAGCCACTGTTGGCCTTAGGGGTCTTTACAGATCCGACGGGCATGAGGTGGCCGGCATGAGCCTGAACCTCGGTTGCAACACGGGTAGGATTTCAGATGTATTGCCTCTTTTCAATAGGGTACTTTTAAATACATTGTACCCTTTGTTACTGGGTCAACTATTGGAGCTTTACTCTGGGAAAAAGACAATGGAATTTATTTAGCAGTTCCCAGTATTGCCATTATACACAAGAATACTAACGAAGTATTAAAAAAGATAAGTACCATAAAATAATTTAAAAAAAAACCAGTGCTAAACCAGAGTCAGATACGGCATTTACCAAGATTTAAATGCTACGAGCCTAGAACATAAAAAAAATCAAGTCCAATACACGCGGTATGTTACCTCCGCCTTATAGAACGATGAAGTAGTTGTGCTAAGCGTGTACCACACCAGACGCATTACTTATGTTTTTCTAAAATGTATGATATTGCCTCTATTTTGTTTGTTTATGTTGCAAATAGTTTAAAAATTTCTTTTGATATCAGATGATTATATAAATCTTTGCTACTTTAATACTTACTCATGACCCGTAGAGTGGATTGGAGTGTTTATATTATTTGAAGCTAATTTACATAACAAAGACATAAAAAATTTTAATAAATTATTTATTTCAATATCAAATAGTTATTCTGATAACTTGATCTACACTAATGTACTTATTTGCAAAATTTAACAACCTCTTTTTTTATCGATTACTTTATAAGTAATCTCCTTAAAAAAACTTATTTCATATAACATCTGTTAATTAAACTATCAACATCCTACAATGTAGGACAACTGATGATATTAATTTGTACCTAATATTTTAACACAAACTTTAAAGAATTTGTTTCCCCGAACAGTTGTTATTTTATTTTAAATAATCTAAGGTCGCCAATTTTATGGGCACTAATTATTGTATAGTCTAATCGCTGCTATAGTCCTAGACAAAATTCTTGCATTTTGTCTAGCTATAGTAGCGATTAGACTATGGGATTTCTTGGGATTCTTATGGGATTCTTAACCTACCGCTAAAAGCGTGATAGTTCGGTGTCCGGGCGCTCGCCTTTAATTCAATATACTCGAGCAATCTGAGTTCGATTCCCGGTGCCGGCCACCAATTTTTAATTTTAAGTGCCGACTTTTCACGTGCTCCCCGGTGAAGGAAAACATCGTGAGGAAACCTGCATATTTTAAAATAATAACAAAAAAATCATTCGAATATATGTGAAGTCCCAATCCTCCCTGATACCCTCTATATAGAGGAGGCCTTTGCCCAGCAGTGGGACATGTATAGGCTGTTACTTTTCTTTTTTTAAACTACCGCCATGAAAGGCACAACAAACAAATTCGCGTCTCTTAATAACAAAACTTCAATCGAAGTCGCTCAGTCTAAAATACCAGCGAACTCTAAATGAGATGAGGGAGTGGTGCACCTGACACAAACATGCACCTAATAAAAACTTGAGGGTTCCTCGAACCTTGTTATGGAGTATCATGAGACTCTAACTTCTACGCCACCACTGTCACGTTTAACTACCGATTTTCCAGTACAATTTTTGTAATACATAGCAGTGCAAGTTTCACCACATATTAGAAATACCTCACTTGCTTATATACCAACATGATAATAACTAGTATTACTGGCTATTTGTAAAAAAAACTTTAAATACTTTTTCAATGGATAGCAACTTCGCGTTGTGCCGCAAAGGAAATCGTTACAAACTGGTCTTATAAATACAAAAACTCAAAAGCCAGTTGCTTCGCTTGACTTCAAATAAAAAATGTATTAATTATACCATGAAATTTGCAGCTAGTGATTCAAATTATATATTTATTGAATTCGCGGAAACAGCATTTCCACACAAATAATTATATATAATGCTGACCAATTGTCGGAATAATGTGACCATTTGCAAAGATGTTGCAACAATGTTTGTCTTTAAAAGCAGTTCATCCAATCAAATTGAGGTGATATGATAAAATACATCCTTGAAATTCGAAACTCCTTGTGATTATTTATATGCTGTTGACCAGTTATTGCAAACTTCAGACCAATTGTGTGTATTTCGTACCTGTACGGTGTACGGAGACCGTAAGGTGCTAATCAGAAAAAGGTAACTTAGACTTTTTTAATTATTCGAATTAATACGTAAATAACATTGATCAAATATCAAAATTATTTTTTTTTTAATTAAAAGAGACCATTTTTTGACCAGTTGAAATTATTTTAGATCCGATATCTAGGATTAATTTGAGCCGTCAATTTTTTTCCGATGACCTTGTAATTTGAAACTATCTATAGTTAGTGTCAAAGTGTTGACCAGTTGCTAAATGTATCGATTACGATCGACATTAGATTCACTCATTTTGGGGGACAGAAAAGCAATAGCGGGAAACTGTTCTTTACCTTTCTTTTAAATGTAATATATTTAATGGCAAGACTGGCCGGATACAAACAGTACAACCAAAGAAATTTTACTACAACTTTATAAATCTAAAATAAGAAAACTTTTTCCCCGACATACGGAACATCACAATTCTGATGATCGTCTTATCTGAGAATATAAATTAACATATAAATAAATATTTATCATAATATATAAAGAAAATGTAAAAAACTGATAGTTCTTAACAGGAAGGATATTATTATTATTAATTTTGTTTTAATTCTATTTGCTTCGATAAGGATCCCGCCTATTGTATTTATTAGCAACTTATCTAAATACTAACGAACTCTTTGTATATTTATCGCATTGTAAACAATGGAGTTTACAATGTTAACACCAATAATCGTTCCATGCGAATGTAAGCAAATTTTATAAGTCAAAGATAAATAAATAACAGTCCTTATTTTCAATCTATTCTCAGTAACTATTTTCGCTTAGTTAAACTTGGAACATTCTTAACAAATAATATTATTTTATTTTTCAATCAGAGATTGAATCAGATTTATTCAATCAGCGAATATATGTACGAAGAATTAAATATTCGTAAGTTTAAAAAACCGGTTTAACTCACCAAGTTCTTCACTAGTCACCAGTTTTGACGCAATAGAACGCATGGCAATGAAAGAAGTACCATTAAAGATTTCCACCAGGGGTGCTGAAAATAAAGAAGCCTATCAACAAGTTTACAGCTGTGGAGGGATATAATTCAAACGTTATTATTATTTCTATGCAGAAATTATAATAATCTTGAAATATTATCATATAATAATTAATAAATCCATTCTATTCTGTCTTATCTTAGATCGATATTTCGCCAAGCTTAGTTCTAAAAGTGTCAGAAATCTCTTTAAATCGTTAAGATAAAAATAGGTTTCTTAGTATGTATAGGTCAAATTGTATTGTAAGCCTTTACTGGATGATGCTTTATTTCTTATTATGTTAGTTGTATCTGCCAAAAATCAATGGTATTATATACAAATACGAAGTATGACACTAGCACACTGAAACTGAGGCGCTCAAATTACGCCAATTCGTGTAATTTTATACACTGCTATCTCTTTACGTATCAAACGTTCTATTTCATCTGTCTCATTCACTTATATATGTCATATAATGTAAAGCGGAACACTTATTAAACACCGGGCAATATGGACATGCGTCATCTATATGATTAAACATCATAGGGCAAAAATAATGTTCACGAGCATGTTAGATCGGTTTTCAAATGATATGCGATATCAAATCGAAAATTCGAAAAATAAAGCATTGGCGGCGTACCTATGTATATCTCAGTAGTTGTAGTTGCGAAGGCGAATATAAACGACGCTAGAATCTTACTAGTACAAGATATTATTCCAACAACTGTATCGTCCAGCTTCATAAAGTCGCTGAAGATGCTGATAGAAAACAAAGTGCCTGTGGACAAAAATCGCATTTTTATTACAATTAATAAAATTGTTACACATGTTAATACACTCTTTAATACAAACAATAATGGAATTCATTCCCTACCCTAACATTTTTACAATTTGTTGTAAACAATTCTGCAAATTGTCAAATTCAATAAAGTGGAAACGGTTAATATCTAAAAATTTAAACAAATAAGATTTGATAAAATAAAATGCAAAAGTAACAAAATATTATACGTTATTTCAATTTCACTTCCAAGGAATATACCGCAAGGAAAGGTGGAAGGGAATAGGCATGATTAATCTTAGGAACAGCGACACGGCGACAGCCAAATTTCATTAGTGTAGTAACATACGGTGAGCTTCTAGGAGAGCGTTACTACAATACTACGTACTAAATCTAAATTAGCCGCTAAATCTAACTTTACGTGGTGGTAACTATAACAAGATTTACGAAATGAGGAAATACTGGTATTAATATTATGCAGTTTTTGATTATAACGGGAATTCCAAATGCCTGTACTGTGAACCAATAAGAATTCTGAGTTATGTTATTGTTAGAAATGAAGTATGCGGTATATCAGTCTTAGTATGATTAATGTAGTTTATTTTCATGGATATTTATGAAGGAGTTATCGGGACTATCAATAGAGATGGACTAAAGAGAAGAATTTTTCATGACAATCACGCTTATATTATTAATATTAGTGCATTAAATCAATTTAAGATAGATCACTTAATAAAACCTACTATGACGATGAAATGATATGGATTTTAATTAATTCTTTTCTTTGTGCTTAAAACACACAAGCGAAATGTGACAATAGTGGAATTCAAATCTCAGCCTTTATTCCAGTATTCCTGCAATTGTTGTTGTTGACACCAAGCCATCTATAAAAACTGTTAAATTTAAACGAGTGGGAAATTTGTTAAATGATCACAAGTATATAAGCCAGATTATTAAATACATTATTTACATACAGAATAATTCACCTCAGATTACAATTTCGTAACGTTGAGGGAAACGTCATTAAATCATAAATATGAGATAATAACTTCACGCCATTACTAAATGTAGGCCTGGGATAATTTATTTCACTTAATAAGCTGCTTCGTTTTGAATTATTTCAGCAATGGAGACACTTTAGTTTATTAAGGAATAAATATTAATTAAACTAATTTATTGCCACCTCAATAGATCGAAAACGTTATTATAACGCAGAGGCAATTTCGAATTAGTTTTCCCTTTAATACCGCTTTAATGTCTATCTATAAGGGCAAAATATAAAATGTGATGCTAACTAGGGCTACAAAGTTTGATGATTAGCTCTCAACTTTTTTTTATTGCTGTGTTTTATTCTTAATTAAATTCAATGGTATCGTATCAGGCCATAGAAAATAAATTGTCAAGATGTTGTCAATAAGTCAACAGTGGTAGGGCCACGCAACAGCGAAGACTGTTGCATGGCCCCGAATGAGCAGATCCGTCCGGGTAAGTACCGCAACCTCACAGAAGACTGGCATAAAATAGAAGTTTTTCGTCTGTTAAGTGAGGTAGCTGGGGCCCGCTAGCTTTATTTAAAGGTGGCAACGCATTTGCAACCCTTAGGGTGTTGCAAATGTCCATGGGCGGCGGGTATCACTTAACGGCAGATGAACCGCCAACTCGTTTGCCACTTTATCACATAAAAAAAGTTATTCTTTCTAAGGAAGGCTGTTTTAACAGGTTGCTTACTAATCATAGGCATACATACCCACTAGGTTGGTGATAATGCTATACGTGCAAAACATGCTGAATTGCACCTCGTCCCAATTGAATCTGTACCGCATGAAGAGATACAACACGTTCATCTCGCCTGGGCCATAAACAAGTTATTTTAATAAGTTCATAACAAAAGGGATGAAAGCGAAACAATAATTAATAATGGTGAGTGGCATTATTGGCTTATGCAGCAACTTCAAATTTTGTGAAGGAATATTATTTTTTACTGTAGGAGTGGGTTCGGTTACTTCATTCGCTAGAGAAAACGTAAATATTTTAACTTAATTCAGGTCTCCTTTGCAGTCCTGATACTTCCCCAGTAGAGATTGATGGACCCTCCCACGGTGAATACTCAAGATTTTAAGCACGATTTCGAATATTAGTCGCAAACGCGCTAATGTGATTTCGACCTTCAGGATTTTCCAATTTGCGAAAATCACTAATATATACTTGTTACATATTTTGTTACACCATTACATACATATCCTTTGATCCGAAATTCTTGACATTTTTACCCGACTGTGCGAGGTCATGGAGGGTAATGTTAATGGAATGTTATTAGCCAAAAATAATAGGTGTGTATACATGTTTCTTTTTTTTGTGCTGATTTAGAGACCAATGGCATAGACCGATTTTGATGTCACCAAAATTCTATATACAAATATTTTATATTCAAACAGTATATTGACATGTACAAGAATTTGTGAAACTAAGCAATTGAGTATTTTGATCATTTAGATTCATGTACTTCTACATATTCCTTTAAGTAAATGCCTTTTTCAACAACTTATAATATACTAGCGTTGAAGCCCTTAAATAATTATCTTTCTTTAAAAACTATGTATAATTTTTAAAGAAAGATATTTTCAACACTTCACAACACTTTTTTAAATTAAAAAATAGTCAATGTCCTTTCTCTGGCTCTATACTATATGTGTGCCAAATTTCATTTAAATCGGTTCAATAGTTTTGACGTGAAATCGAGACAGGCAGACAGGGTTACTTTCGCATTTATAATATTAGTATGGATTAGCGAACCGGGACAGACGTTGTCCTGTACACACGTCTTAAATCCGAAAATTTCAAACTTTTTCGACAACGAATTGTGAATCTAAACCATTCTCGAATCCACCTGAAGACAAAAAAATTCATTAAAATCGGTCCAGCCGTTTAGTAGGAGTTCACTGACATACATACACACATACAGAAGAATTAATATATAACTAACGACCCGCCCCAGCTTCGCACGGGTGCAATGTATTATACATATAAACCTTCCTCTTGAATCACTCTATCTAGTAAAAAAAACCGCATCAAGATCCGTTGCGTAGTTTGAAAGATCTAAGCATACACTGGGACACACAGACAGCGGTTCGACTTTGTTTTATACTATTTAGTGAAGATAACGGCTTAGATCGATACGTACCGTGTAGTGGTCCGAATATTACACAGACGACGACTATAAGCAGCGACACCCGAAGCCGCCTTCGCCGTGGCCCGCTCCTGAAAGCCACTGTCAAGGTCTCACGGACATGGCGAGCATCGAAGAACGAGCACACCCAGCCTCGGCAACCAACCGGCTGGTCCTAAAGGGAGTCCAAAGGAGGAAGCCGTATCAGAAACCCATTCCTCAAAAGCAATCGTCTTAACCACTTAGAGGAATAATACATGAATAACATTAAACATCAGCCTTCAAATAAATGCAACACAAATATCTTATTACACTGTGCAGATTGTGTTTACGTTAAAAATTATTTAATTGGGTTATCGTGTTTAATGTTGTTTTTCAATGTACAAAAACAAATCATCAATGTATTTTATGACTTTCGTAAATGACACAAAATTCGTTCCGTAATATTAAATATCAAGATTTTATACAAAACACTTTTATCAACACGAAACATTTATAGGTATACCGAAAACATGATACTAAACGTATATTAAAAGTTCTGGTTCGTTTTGGTAAAAGTTTCTTATGTAAATGAAATATCTTGAAATCAAATGCGGTAAAGAATAGCTTGAAATAAACCTGAGTTCGATCCCCGGTGCCGGCACCAATGAAATTGTTAACTTTAAGTGCTGAATTATCACGTGCTGACTGGTGAAGGAAAACATCGTGAGGAAACATCCATATTTTCTTAATAATAATAAAGAAATATATTCCAAAGATATGTGAAGTCCGCCAATCCGCAGTGGGGCTGCGTGGTGGTCTATGGTCTAGGTATAGATGAGGCCTTTGCCCAGCAGTGGGACATGTATAGGCTGATGCTTTACTTTTATTTTACTAGCAACAGAGCGAACCTACGATAATAACAATTAATACAGTGAGAGTACTTCATTTCATGACGGATTCATGAAATGAAGTACGTGTAGATTATAAAGTCCTTGGCATGAATAGCGCACAATTTATACAAAAGCTGTTACAATTGTGCAGTGTTATTTAAAAAATTATCAATGATAATTAGTCAACTACTTTTTTTTATTTTTTAGTTTTGGTAAGCGTATATAACTTATTTTGATATAAAGATGAATTAGTCCGATTAACGAAATTTGCGTTTAAACCTCCTCTTGTATCCCTTTAATTACCCGAATTCTGATATACGATGTCGAATTTATACAAGTTAATACTTTTTACAAAAAGACTACTGCGTCAAACATTTGCGTTTTTTTATGTGAAAAGTTCTCAAACGAGCAGGCGGTTCACCTGATGTTAAGTGAATACCGCTGCACACGGACATATCTGCTACACCCGAGGGTTTGAAAGTTGGGCTCCAGCTACCTCACTCACCAGACGAACCGCGAAAGTATTATACTTCTACTTCACGGCGGTCTCCTGTGAGGTTGTGGTACTTACCCTGACGAGCCTGCCCATTCGTGCAACAGCCGGGGCTGCTGCGTGGTCCTACCACAGTGATTACCAGAGTTTTTACGCAAGAAATATTGTGTTATTTTGTTTTGAATAACTTAAAAAAATTGAACTGAAAAAAAGTTTAGGTAAAGAAAGTTTAAAATTTGTTTCATCTTTTTAGTATGCGAGAAGGTGGGGAACGAGCCGCCGATTGACTGGATGTTAAGTTATAACCACCGCCCATTGACATTTCCATCACCCGTAGGGTTTCCGTTGCGTTGCCACCTTTTAATAGTGTGCCCCGGGTACTTCACTCACCATACGAAACGCAGAAGTATAATACTTCTAGTTCAAGCTTGTTTTCTGTGAGGTCATGGTATTTCCCCGGATGAACTTACCCGTTCATGCAACAGCGAATACCGTTGCGCGGTCCTACCACAATGAATGGCGTGTATAAGTTACCTGATTCCAATAAAATAAATGATTGTAAACTATACGATATATTATCTTAGAAAAAGATGCGTAAAGAAATTATTATATATTTCTTAGTGATAAATTTTCAATTAAAAAAATTAAACAGCTGCTCCTCCCAAAGTAGACAAATATATTTGATACTTTTTCGATACGAGTTTCTCACGCTACAAGAAAAAAAATAAAGTTTTGTTTTTGATGAATTTATTTATATATTGCAGTTACGAGTCGTACATGATACTCGTTGTTCTATCTGGCTATAGGAGCCAAAATCCTGTCGCAACATTTTCAAACGTAAAGGACTCCTGTTTGAGCCTCACGTTAAAACAGCGATAGTGATACGAAGTTCCCCTTCATTCGAATTTGCGTTGTGAGCTCTTAGCAATTTATCACTTGCTTGTAGGACTAACCGAGCACCGACGATACAAATTGTGCCCGAGCCGTATACGATATCGGAACAATTCGGCACTAACCACACACGCGGATGTCGCAATACTTGCTGTATTAATTATGCTGCTACATTTTCCAAAGCATTTACTATATTTGTTGCTTAAGAAAGCATAACCCTTAATATTACTTACTCTCTGACGATCTTGAGATATAACGGGATCCTTGAGTCGTATATATCCATAAATGAGGCTCGTCAGGTAAAGGCAATTTGATATTAGGAATATTCCGTAATACCCGATCTGTTGCAACAGTATACCACTGAGAGACATACCAATCGGTATTCCAAGGGACATGCACAAATTGGCCACTCCCACCCTGAACGTCCTCATTTCTTTTGTTGTAACGTCGCCGATGTAACTGAATACGCCGACGCAGACAGTAATCCAACCTCCGGTCAGCGACGGAAACAAATCTGAGAGAGCTGTAACCTCCAAAGGCAATTCGTAGAAAAAATATGTGTTCAGAATGAAACTCGTGCAACAAAGGACTTCACCGACAATTGGCAAAAGGATGCACGCTTTCCGCCTTCCTGTTTTGTCGCTCCACGAGCCAACAAACAGCACCAAAATACAGGGGAATGCCGTTTGAACAATATTTTTCCACGCTTGAACTGACGCCGTCAACTTTTGCACTTCCGATTCCTCCATTGTATAATTTTCCGTTTGCCTCCTGTTCAACGCAGAGCATACTTCATCACTGTATCCGAGATTTACTCGGCAGGCTTTCTCCAAGTTTAAATTCTGGACAGCAAGCCCTGAGAACACATTTGACATGATATAACAGGCTATTATTGGTTCTACGGTTATATTTGACCTTATTTGCATTAGCTTCTCTTTCACGCTGGCCCTCTTTGGCTTTGGTTTATCTCTGCTGTCTACCTCCACCCCAATTTTGTCAATAGGTAAGTTGATCCCGTTCATTATGACTAAAAATTACATTTGCTGTTAATAAATATAAATTAAATGCATCTAGTCCATGGACTGTTTCATAAATATTTATGTTATAAATGCTTTTTCATTGTTCATCTTAGTTCTATTATTTGATTTATCACTTATTGATAGCATTAGAGACTTATAGTCTTCATGCAATGGAGATGTCGTTGCATTTTGTTAGAAATCTTTTTTCACTTAATAGTCGCTTCACTGTGTCTCACGTTTATTTAGATCACTGGATTTATTTTTATCACCGATTTAGTACACCATCGTCTCACAGGCCAGAAAGTATACTGAGAACTCTTGTCTTAAACGATGATTAGGCGGATACGCGTTGAAGTGGTGCCATTAGTGACAATTGGCCGGCCGTAGTGTCGGCCCGCGGTGGCGGAATGGACCGGAGCCCGCAGGACTGCCTGGATCCGAGCGTCACAACCTTGCAATAAGCAGCCGTTTATCCCATTAGAGCAATGCCATTATGTAGTGGAACAGTGGGTACGGCAGCGTACCCGATTAGAGCACGGTCAAGGTACGCTTTATGTGTGCCTGTGTGTGGTGAATTCTCCATTAACTAAATTTTAGGAGTAAGAAAAGAGAACAAATAGAAAAAGAAACAAAAACCACAGAATGAATGACTCCGTTATTTAACAATATTTAGGATTTACAACATTTATTTGGCACTGAGCCACTGCCAAAACCCTTCACTTTAATGTATTTAGTGTCCTTACTGAGATTTTAAAAAATAAGGAAAAGAGATAAAATTGCCTAAATAGTGATGTTTAAATAATTAAATGTGTAGGTACTATTCGCAGAAATTACAATATAAATCTTATCCTTTAAACGAGCAATTCTTGTATATATATAATCGGAATTTTGGAAACGGCTCCAGCGATTTTCATGAAATTTAGTATGTGCGTAGATTCGGGGGCGAAAAATTGATCTAGTTAGGTTTCATTTTTAGAAAATATCCTTTTATCCCTGTTTTCAGGGAATGAAAAATATGTTTCGAATATGACGGTAAATTTCGCCGCATAAAAAAATGTTATAATAGCTCGGTCGGTAATCGGGCGGCCGCAAAACAGACGGCCGCGGTTCGTATCACGATCATTTACACACTTATGTTTTTACTTTTTTTTCGATTCCAGATCATTGCTTTCTTTATTTTTTATTTTTTGTCGATTTGTTATTTTGTTTTTTTTTCCTTTTTTTAGTTCTTTCTTTTGTGAAAAACACCAGTTTATATTTTCTTATTATTACGTCGGTAAGATCGAAAAATATTATGCATATTTTTATTACTCAGTAATTTGTATCTAAATGTAATTTCAAAATACACGATTTACCAGAAAAAAACAAACCGAGCAAAGCTCCTACAGGTACTTATATTAATTTACCCATTGTGTGTTAACGATACGTAATGGTAAGCGTAGCCAAGTATAACGTATCGATATTTGGTGATAAAACTTTTTTGGCTGGTCTGATCTCTGAGTAATTTACTGACTACAAAAAAATCAACAATATTATTATTAATTTTTTTCTTTTATAACTATTATTAAATGATTATAAAAAATATTATTATTAAATAATTATAAGAGCAAAAAAAATTATTAAATAATTATAAGAGCCATCATAGCTCATTGTCCGGGCGCTCGCCTTTAATAATAAATATTCGAGCAACCTGAGTTCTATCCCCGGTACCAGTACCATGGAAATTGTTAATTTTAAGTGCTGACTTATCACATGCTCTGCAGTGAAGGAAAACATCGTGAGGAAATTTCCATAATTTAGAAATAATAACAAAAAAATATATATATCGAAGATATGTGAAGACCGCCAATCCGCAGTAGGGCCGCGTGGTGGACTATGCCCTGATACCCTCTGTACAGAGGAGGCCTTTTCCCAGCAGTGGGACGTGTATAGGCTGTTACTTTACTTTTTTTTTATTTATTATTACTAAATCAGCTTGAAAGCTAGTATTCAGGTCAATGAATTTATTTGTTAGATGATGAAACACTTGTATCCAATTATATAGTACACAATAACTGAAGTTCATTAAATTACAAGAAACGATTTACGCCTTACAACGGAAAGTTAATCGAGTTATACTTTAAGGTTGCGAAGTAAACGTTCCCAATTACAAAAACGGCAAGAATGATTTCCTTTAAGTGCCATATTTACATAACACGAATTATTTTATTTAAAGCCAAACGGTACTTTGATTGTACATATAATTCTTAACAAAGTATGTGCATGTTCAATAAATACATACAAAAATTGATAAATTCTGGAGTAATATTGATTCATGCATCTTTTGCCCCAAAATCATTCTAAAAGTAGTTCCCATTTCCGTCATTTTCTTCAACTCGATACGTTTATGTCATAATATTCGTTTTCCCGGAATAGCAAGCGAGTCTCGTTTGTTATAAAGTGAATAATTGACTTTAAGCAGTTCAAATTGTTAGTATCAAGTTAAAGACGTGACCTTTTATACGAACGCAAAACCTTTGTAGATTTTAATCACACTTTTAGATGAAAAATAAACACTAGTATTTTTTAATAAATAAGTACGCAATTCTACTTTTTTTATGTAAAATTAAGTTCGTAAATACTTTAATCTAATATGAATTTGTAATCAATTTCAGTACTTGTATAAGGTTTGCTTAAAATTAACAAAGTCATTAATACAATACAATATAGGACAACATTATGCCAAATTACCTTTTCTGTATTTCTTCTGATACGGGCATAATTTTAACATTTAATTAATTAAAAAATCATTTGAAGTAACTAAAATCTTCTCGGGAATCAATTTTTTACGGTGGGCTTCGTTGGAGTGGAATTTGGTTCGAAAATTATTAAATCGTACATTCTCACTCAATTAGTTCTTACGGTTCAATAGTAAGATCATATCAAGACGATCGTATGCAGATATCACTTACCTTCCAATAATATCACTCAAGCAGCGAGGACTACTTAACAGCAACGACTAGTCTTAGCGGTAAGCGATTTGTGTGCTTGAATTAATAACGATGCGGCTAGTTTCCGTATGATGCATATTTTTCTATTCCAATAATCACCTAAGAACGGCTACTTTTCTTCGCATGTTACCTCCATTTTCAGTATAGGCTACCGATTCAGCTACTCGCTCACAACAGTTTGTAACAGTTTTTCTTCATTCATCCTCTGCATATAAGAATTATCAGACTATTGTGGTCGCTTTCAGTTTTTAAAGGAAAGCATTGTTTTAATAAGACATATTCTGTTTAATTACGAATTTTTAGCGTTTATAATGTGTAATCGCGTAAATACAAGAACTTATCACATATTCTATTTAGTTGGCTTAGAAATATTAATAGATGTAACCGTAAAGGTCTGGATAAAAACATTTTTCAGTTTTTGGTACGGATTACGCCTAAAAAAGAAAGTCTTAACTCCCCGCAATTCCCATCCCGCTTAAATCGGCTCAGCCGTTTATGAGATTATCCCAGGGATAGAAATTTATATACGGGTGCTCTAGTTTTGTGGTAAGTTCTGTAGATTTGGAAAGTATATACCTTTATTAAGGCATCTTACACACGTCCTTCAGGGGCTCGCTTATTTCCTTTTTTTAGTAGGTAATAAATAGATCCACGGATAAACATCACACGTTTACGTTCTCATAGAGGCGAATGTTGCACCCAATTACTTCCTGCATATTATCATTTATGCACATACACACGAGCATGACCTGTTGTACTTTTATCTGTCACCGAGATGGGTAAGCATAAATTACGAGTTTTCACTTCGCGCGATTCCAACAGAATTGTTTCATTTTCTCCACATCCACGTATCCACCAATCCATTATTTTTATCAGATATTTATCAGGTTTTGACTGAAATTTGAATATGGCACCAAAATATAAAAGGTGTTAGCAAAAAGCGGGCTACATGCCACAGCACTTGCAACGATTGTCCCGGTCAAAGTTGGAGATGTCGGAAATGATGCATCAACGCTGATTTATTCCGACATTAATTCTGTTAACGTACTTATGGATTTATGGAAATGGCTTGTTTATTGCTTACACGCGAAATAACGCCGAATGTTTTCATGCATTTACGCATACTTACTTCGTCATTACTCGAAATTTTATTCATGCCGTACGTACCGTAATAGATTTGTCGAGTGTCATGAACAATTTTTTTAAGGTGCAATCTGTCTTTTTAACTTTTATGTTCACGATACTATGAGTTTCTTGTCGGAAATTTAAGATTATTAAAAGAATGGCACTGTAAATAAATACTCTGTACATGAGCTTTTATATAAATTAATATAATATGTACGTATAATAAAATAATATATTACCGCAACATGTTTAATATAAAAAAGGAGATGGAAATTATTTTATTTACATGTTTACATTTCAAATATTTTTTTACTGTTTATAAGGTATGCTTAAATTAATATACGTAGCCGTAAAGCCCATTAAATATTTACTGCTGGCGTCTGCACAAGCTGAGCCCTCTATTTTAATCAGCAAACAGTACGTCATTGCAACATTTTCTTGTATTATTATACAAAATGTCTCATATGATAGTCACTTTAATTATATCAAAACCTTGTGTTAAATGTCGGTGATGACGCAAGAAGGAAATGTTTGTGAGGTTCGCTCTAGTTAATTGTTTATTTGTACCTAGAGAATACGAAGCAAAGTTCTTTTTTAGATCAGCCATATCTCACTGGTTTCTACACTTGGATGATAAATTTAAGATCTGAGTTTGGATAACGCCTAAGCTGAACTTGAGAACAGCATTGTCCGTTAATTTGAGATTGCCGTGAAGGCGTAACCCGTTAACTTCTTACACTTTGTTCTTAAATAATGTTATTTAAAAATATATTAAGGGATCGTTGCTTTGAAAATTTGTTTTTTTTTTACTTATGTGTTGGCAAGCGAGCAAGCACTTTACCTAATGGTAAGTGATTCCCGCCGCCCATTGCATCTCCAAAACCTTGT